CTGTTTTCGAATCAGTGGACGACAGACGCGATTATGATGTGGTTTACCTCGACTTTAGCAAAGCCTTCGACAGGGTCCTCCACGAAAGACTAATACGTAAAGTGGAGGCTCATGGAGTTGGAGGAGATATTCTAAAATCGATTAGGGCGTGGCTACAGGACAAGAAACAGAGGGAGCACTAATGGCACTAAATCCAATTGAGGTAACGTCACTAATGGAGTACCCTAATGCTCAGTACTTGAACCATTACTAGTTACCATATTTACCATAGATATAGGCGTAGACAACAACATAAGTAAATATGCTGACGACACTAAAATAAGGAGTGTAACTAATAAATCTGACTAGGACTCGACAAAACTACACAAATACCTTTAAAAAATCCACAGATGAAATTTGATGTGGACAAATGTAAAGTACATAGCCGAGGAGATGTAAACAGAGAAATCAGATATCAGATGGACAACGTTGATATTGAGAAATCTGACTGTGAGAAAGATTTAGGAGTAATGATAAGTAGGAATCTTAAACCAAGACAACAATGCATATTTGCTCGAAACAAGGCTAACAAAGTACTTGGGTTCATACAAAGGAGTGTTAGTTACAAGACCAGCGAGGTTATCCTAAAACTATATCATGCGCTTGTGAGACATCACTTGGATTATGCAGTTCAGTATTGGTCACCGTACCACAGAATGGATATCGAATCCCAAGAAGGAATTCAGAGGAGAATGACAAGCATAATCCTGGGCATTAGCATCTGAATTTGCACTCCTTCGAGAGACGTAGAGTGAGGGGCGATATGACTGAAGTGTGTAAATGGAAGTCAGGGTTAAACAAAGTGATATAACATATGTGCTTAAATTATATATCCAACCAGGAGCGAACTCGTAGCAATGGTTTTAAATTAGGCAAATTTAGATTTAGGCGCGAGATAGGTAAACACTGTTTTGGAAATAGGATAGTGGATGAGTGGAACAAGTTACTGATCATTAACAGATATATGAGCGCTAGGGATTGGGTGCAAACGGCGCTGCCTAGTATGGGACAATAGGCCCGCTGCAGTTTCCTCCATTCTTATGTAAACTAGTTGACTTAAGTTAAATTCGCCTACTTTAACCCTATGAAGGTTAAGGGGGTCTAAATATTATTCCTATGAATAATTTTACTAACCATTGTTTTATTGTATCTAAGGTATTCTGAATATGTTTTAGTCTTAATTTCCTTGTTGATTCCACACTTCAAATTATCCCTGACATAGACTGCTATCCTGCCTCCTTTACCAATCTGCTTCTCAGTACGAAATTCTTTATATACTTAGTATGGTATTTGACAGGTAACTCACGTGAGTCGAAGTTGATCCACGTTTCGGTGAATACTATTACTTGTGTATCGATTTTTTTTTCAGTACAAACCAAAGCTCTTATTTTACCCACTTAATTTCTCATACTTCTACTGTTCACGTAGTACATTTAAGTTAGTCGTGAACTGAGTCCTCTCTCTGTTGTATTTTGGGTTTAACTTTACCGCCATCCCTAGCACGATTTCTAGGTTTCCCTTCGTTATGTTTACCTGTGTCAACCGCAGTCTCCTGTCGCCACGTTTAGTTGTTGGTCTGTCAGCATAAACGACTACACGTGAATTGTGACTTTTTCTACCGAGACACCATCATTTCTCTAAGTGGCGAAGGACTTAGCATAACATTTTTCTTGGCTCGTGAAACCACTGAAATTTCTCCACTTGTGTCAAAATACGTTATTTTAATGTTCGATGCATACTGTACTATTGGTGAATTTTCTTGTACATATCAGAAAAAATGCGTGTCTAACAATTAAACCAAAAATTATCCTAAAATAGCAAGCAACTTTTCCTATACAGTCAGGAACAAAGGTCGACCTGTCGCCTCCCTTGCTGCTCCACAAACCCCGGGGTTCAGATTCGTAAACCCGAATGATTCAGATTCAAGAATCTGAATCTCGGAGTTCGTGGATTCGTAACCACAAGAATTATTTATTTTTTAGGTCGCTGCGTCATTATAATGTCCACAGTCAAAGCGTCCCACATTGACCTTTACAGAGTGAGTAGTAAGAGCTTACCATGACCAGCTGTTTTCTGCCGACATCAAACATTTTTAGAGCATTTGTCTGTTACATGGACGGTCTGGTGAATGAACTCAGTGGTTTTAACCTTGTCATTCTAGACCCCGCCGTCGACTTTGTAACTACTTTACCCCAAAAAATCGTACCTTTAGTTTAGTATTGGTTTTTTTTATAGTTCACGAATATCATATTTATTTATTCTATTTCGTTGACTGAAATTGAAACTAAAATGGCTCACTAGGCTTTACAGTTTGTTAGTTCCATAAATAAGTTTAATACGAGACGGAGACAACCTCGAATCTTAGATAATTCTACATTAGTGAGAAAATTTCAACCGTAAGTTTAACACCAGTATGACTGAACACAAACAATTCAGTGTCGTGATGAATACAACATTAAAAAAAATTAAGCGACTTACATAAATTACTTGGGCGTTTCTTCTCTACTAAAAATATCATCACGAGTTAGCCCCGAGGAGGTTGCCACACCCACGGGTCAAATTATTGCACCAAGGCTTATTACAGTCTCTTGTGACAGTCTGTTTCGAGAAGTCTTTAACAAGTTGTGTATCTAATTTTAACATCACCCAGCTTCTAGTTTTGTTTGTTAACTATTTAAGGAAATAAACACCCGTACAAAAATATTATAGACATATGAACTCCCCTCTAGAAATAACAATAATCTATACTATATTTTATAAAGTACTTAAAATTCTTGTTTTTACCCAATCTTCGGTAGGTGTACAAAACACTCGCAGTACATTCCATGGTTATTTACAAATCCTTATGATATTTATGATTTCTCGTTTTGTTTAAAATTTTCTACTGTCAAAGAATGGGTGATGTCTATTGGTCATTCTCAAGGTTAGCGCTAGGCCGACGAGGGTGACTCAGCCACTCTGAATTAGGTCAAGCTGGTGTTACTTTCATAGAAACCGCCACCAGTCCACCTCATTTGATAACACTGGGTTGGCGTACTGGTCACCTGAGTGTCTGGGGAGTGGGGTAGGGTCGTCCTAACCAAGAAAATATCTTCGATTCCCCTCCCCATCACATTTTATTATATTTATTTTTTATTAAGTCTAATTTACAAAACTATATTACCAAATATTTACTATAACTGCAAAGTATGTAAAATGTGTATTGAATGCATGCCAATACAAGATTAGCAGTTCGGTGACTGTTTAGGCTCATGGCACACTGTTAAATGTGATCACTGAGAAACTGAAAATAACGTGTCCTAAGTCTACAACTCCTTAATATAGTGTTCTTCCTTCTTTTGTTTTCCTTTTTTTTTGTTGGTGTGATTATGTAGCTACATCTCGTTAACAATGATGTCTGTGTGTTAGTCAGTCAGTCTTGCAGTTGCATCTGACAACTCGCAGTAGAGCTTCTGGCGCTGCAGATAAATTTAATTGGTTGCAGCTCAAGGCGATCATGAACTTTCATCCAACCCCATTCTAATCTTCCGGGTTCAAGGTGATTTCCTCGACTATCCACTGCTGAACTGTGATAGTGTGTGCTGCTGCTCAAGTTGGGGGCAGCCTGATATAGTATTGTCATGATGTAGGTCAGTCACTGTTGTTCACTTTCTTTCCGATATGTAAGATTTTAAGATATTAGTCAGTATTTTCTTTAGAAGCTCTTTCATACAAGACTCATGCCGCTTCTCAGAATGACAATCAACCAAGTCCGTTTCCAAGTCCTGGGTGAGACTCAGTAATTAAGTCTTTTCCCAGAGATGGAAAGATGACTAATTTCCCAGACATTGATACAACTGGGAGTTTCGATGATGATAATAGCATAAAACGCCAAAAATTTGGAAAATCTAATATACTTTAGGAATAGCGGTGTGTCTGTGTGTGTGTGTGCGTGTGTGTCTGTTCTGGGCAGCCGAAACGGCACAATCGTTTTTCATCAAACTTGGTGGAAAAATCCCAAAGAATTCGTAGAGTGGAAGAAACCTGGTCCCATGTCGATGGTTTCTTTAGGAAGGCATTAATTAACCATTTTATTTACGCTGGAAAGAGATGCAAGTCTACGGACTTGGCGCACCCTCATTCGCTGTACGCTGTCAGCCCGACAGCGGTTGCGCGCTAGCCAAGCACGAGCATTCAAACTTTCGCCAGGCACGAAGGGCCTTCGATCACTTGTATACACTATACCCTCGTTAATTCGACAAAAAGGAGCTCTGGGTCACTCGAATTACCGAAAACCCGAATTAACCAAGTACGGAATATTTTGACATTCGACAATCTCCGAATTTTTGTGTTCGATTTCTCTTCAGTTTTTGCACCCTGTCTTTCCTATCACACAGTAATAATAAAGTAAATAATATGGTCATAATTATATTTCACACCGCGAGGTGAGCTGACGAAGCGAGAGAATATGTAGAAATATCTGCAGAGGGCTGGTACAATTACTCTTATATAATCTGGGATGAGGTCCATACTATCGACGAAAATGTCATAGGAAAAAATGTCTTGGAATTGTCTACACCATCGGAATAACATGTTTTTTTTTTTTTTAATTACCAAAGCGATTATAGACCGTAAGAAAAATAATACCCACTTGGCTTTAGAGATCCAATAAGTTATCAAACACTGACTATGGATTGTATAACGATTAGCCTCCACTACTCCAGCTACCTGGGAGTGGTGCACCTTTAAACCGCCAGAGCTATTCATTTAACAAGTAAAAAAACGTTTAAAATACCTTACAGCCTCACTCACAGTCAGTATGAGGAATACTTAAAACGTAAATTATTTGAGTGTAATAGTCTAGTAAATTACTTGGTCTAGAAACGATCACACTATTAATCAAGCTATCTCTTACAGCTGTGACGTCGCGCAGAAATTTTAACCCTTGAGTAATAATTTTAAATGGGGAAAATGTTACTTACCCGTTTTCCCTCGCGTAAGGACAACTCATCTCGTGAACTGTTGTGTTGGTATCAGCTTAAAACACTCCCACAACTGAGTTCTCTTGCCAGCGGTTTGTTTGTAAGCACACTTAAGTATTTATCTTCAAGTTTGAGCACAATATTTGATAAGTGTTCAGGTAGGCATACAGACGAGTGAGGAAGGCGGGTACCCCTTTCTCGGTCACTGCAGGCGGTGGTGGTCGTGGATATAGGGAGGGAGCGAGTCGTGGAGCCGGGTACAATCAACGTGCGCCTTCACCACCGTCTTACTGTCAACTGAGGAAACCTCAACTTCTCAACTCTCCCGACTCCCAACTCTACTCATCTCTCCCCCCACCCCCGCCACCACCTCCCCACCCCTTTAAAGTTTAATGACAATCCTCACTCCAAAGTCACTGCCTATAATAATACTGTACACTGTCCCCAGGTGTGTGTGTGCTATGCTTTGTTTTGTTTTTGTCTTTTCACGGGGATTAGCCCACCTTGACACAGGTCACTGACCCACATCTGGGGGCGAAAATATAATAATAATAATAATAATAATTCATAGTAAATAAAATTTATAATAAAAAAATAAAAAATCTTAAATAAAATAATAATAATAATAATAATAATAATAATAATAATAATAATAATAAAGAACCACAAAGAAATACAAAAAATGAAAAACAAAGATCAAAAGTGAGAAACAATATATGTATGTTGTGTTGTCACTGGTAAGAGAAACAATTGAGACCCTGCAATTGTGTGTAAATGAGGCAGAAAGTCAGATCTCCAACCTGGGACTTGGTCACAATTTTTGTGATGCTATAGAGTCTACCATTAGGCAACACATTATGCTTCCAATATCTTCCCAGGCGGTAGTACCTCCCTGTTTGGTAGCTGCCTACTACCTACTACACTTTATTTATTGGTTTATTGGTTTTCATCTTTCTTGTTTGCTTGTCCGGGTGATATCGCGTCCTGTTTTTGAGCAACGAAGCTAAAATTTTAACACAACATTGAGCCTTTTTTTTTCAAATTACCTTGTACACTGCCCCTTCCCTCGCCCTATTCCGTCTCTAGGTGTCACGCGAAGTGCGGGCGGTTTACATTGAACTTACCATTACTCGTTCTTCAAAAGAACTCACCTGCAGGGGCGGATCCAGGGGGGTCCTGGAGGTCCGGACCCCCCATTTCATCAGAAAATTCCAATACTTTTTTCTCTAATGCAGTATTGTACTTAGGTGTTTTTGCATAGTAAAAAGTCATTACTATTGACCTCAGAATATCTCCTAATATCAAGTGCACATGGCTTCAAACTGGCCTCAAAATGACCATTAAATTGGCCAGATTTAAAAATAATAATTCTTGGGGGTTTACAGCGCCCCCCAAAATAAAAATAGATGGGCTCGTTGTGCTTACCATGTTCCCCCACCCACAACTTTTTGACCCCCCTTTTGGTATTCTTGGATCCACCCCCTGACCTGTGGAGAACATAATGCAAAAGCCAAATAACAAATAACTATCAGTGACCTTGGGGTCTGTAAGGGCAATTGGTTCTCCTTTTTTTATAGTGAATGACGTCACAACAGCAGATTTAGAAAGTAATTTAAATGTCGCTTCTAGGCGAAAGGAAGCCCGGTGTGGATATTTATACCTCCATGATTGTGGTATTCCAGTAAGACGATATACAGATACAAGGACTGTTGTTGGCTGGGGAGAGGACAGATACACCAAGACCTTGACTACCGTGCAGCACACACTGAGGACAGACGCCTGGGTCTATTATCCTTATAAGGTTTATTTGATTTCGGAGATGAAACGGCCTGAGGATAATCAAACGTATGGTAGTGACATGTGCTACATCCCAAGGGCCGGATGCTCAAAAGTATTTACAATGTTGTATCTTCCGGTACCCAAAACAAAATATCCGCCATCTTGTGACGTCACTAGATGTACTTGGAGACTTTAACTTACAGGACATTCAGAGCTCCTGTAACAGAATAAACCCCGACATAGCGTATGTATTTCCGGATTGCATAAACAGTATATGCCTTCTATGCTATAATAATTTTTAGTAAATCTGTTTTATCAGAAAATACTTCAGAAAATAGGGAAATGATCTTACAAACAGCAGCTGTGTTTGTTTATGTTTTAGCAGGCATGATGGAGTTGATCGATGTACTGTATATTTAAACGATCAAGCTTTGGGACGTGAAAGGAGGTACAGAGACCCATTGGACCTTCACAAAAGTAGTGATCAAATTTTGAAGCCATGTGAGGAATGAGAGACCTATTTCAGGGCGGAGAGCGAAGAGGTCATGGCTAGGCTGTAGCGACTCACATCCAATTGTTATTAATATTCGTACTTTACGTTTTTTTTTATATTATTGTAATTGACAGTGGTAAATATTATTAGTTTCAATTTCTTAACCATTGCCTTCGGACTATCTATTTTGGACAAACACATCTGAGATCCTGGCAAAACATAGAGCAGTTCCCGGTATTTACATACTGTACATGACTGACAAGGGTCGCGACCACAGCCACAGTCTGGCACATTATTGGTTTATTCCTTGTTGAATAAGAAAGAATCCCAACGTGACCCATGACCCACGTGGTACAAGTCTACCCAACATACCACGTGACCAAGTTCCCCATCTCCTTGCATGTTATCAAGCGGGTATTACTTCATTTTAATTCAGTTGGAAATATCGTTGCTGAAGTCAAACTGCAAAAATTAGGAGCGTTACAAGTTTTTGTTCCCAAACTAATAGTCTTGTGAGTCCAGTCATGGTTTAGACCCGATGTAAAACTGGTCAGTGTAAGCAGGTGGTGGTGCCCGGGGCGGGATACTACACCTCAACCCAGGGCCCAGACACGCAAAACCTCCTCAGCAGTTACAGTACACACTCAACTCAGCAATGTTGTAACCGACTTACGGTAGTGAAACTTACACACTGTTAACAATATTGTAAGACCCTCATCCTCAAAACTGTTTTGCCATGTTGATGGGTATTGTAACTCAAATGTAAACACCGAGAGTGAGTCTTCCGGCAGACCAGTCGGCCAATCACATTTACGCTTTCAAAACAAACCGACAAATTACAATGACACCCATAGTCTAGTTTTTATCTAATCAGGTCTTATACACCGTTAATAATGATTTCCTATCGGCCCACCATGTTGTAGCGGAGCGGCTGTGTATATTTTTGAGGGAATCTTGCAAATGGTGATACAAGAATGTAAATTATGTAAATTGGTATGAATATTCAATATGAGTTAAATATCAAATCTACCTGATTGGACATTCAAAATTCCAAAATGGCGGCCATTTTCCAAGATGGCCGACAAATGTGGATGTCAGATTTTTCTTTTAGGGTAAACAATGTGTTCATCAATTCAGGTGATTTCAGTGTTACTTTCCATGTTTTGGGATATGTAGAATCTGAGTATTGTGTTGAAAACTCTGAAATGGATAGTGTTACCGCCACAGTAAAAAAGCTAGAAGAGAGAGAGAAAGGGAGAGAGGAGAGAGAGAGACAGTGTTGACAACGAACTTTGCTGAGGTGTTAATTGTGCGCGCCGGCCACATGTTAGGTGAAGAAACTGTTTACAACTCAGAATAGCTTACTAAGCGAGTTGGAGCTGGTAGCAGCTGTGTGACTGCCTGAGGGGCAGACTATCGCCTTCTACCGTAGAGGCAACACCTTGATTCTCGTCAGCCAACATCTTCCTGCAGGACATTATATTTGTTCTCGTTGGTCTAACCCAAGACCCCAAAACTTGAGGGTGATTGTGAACTGTTGAATCCTCTGAGAACTCTAAATAACTTTAATAAGAGTAATTATGTACTTTATATTGATCGTATTAATCAAACTGTGTCCTGATGTACCAGCAGTTGTTATATGTGAATTGTATTCAACAGGTTTTGACCGAATTATACTCATCCCGTCAACGACAAGGGTCTTATTGTCCTGCACAAACCAAAATCGCTCCTATGAGCGATTACAGATAACATTCAAAGGAATATGAGAAAAATACAAAGAACCCTGACAAAAAAGATGTATATCCACTGGCATTTCTCTGAATTGGTGACATACTTCAGTGAGACAAAAACTGCATGTGAAGGTTCTAATCGAACAATATAATCGGTCCTGTGCGTTAGTGAGGTGTGTATCTTTTTTTTCTCTCCAAGTGTCAGCAGCATTAACACTGAAAGAAGCAGTTATGTGTTGTCCTCTCCTATCTGCAAAGCAATGTCGGTGTTGTGTCCAGGAGTCAGTGATAGAAGGGCTACAACGTAACCCTAAAGGTGGCCTTTTTTTTTCAAATCAACGTATCAAGGCCACCTTTTCGGGACAACGGGATAATAAGGCGGTGAAATAAACAGTTTACGCCTCTGCTTGCGGCTGTAACAGATCACTTCAGGTAGCGCTGGTTTTGTTCATATAAGCTGTGGAATCGAGAACAGTGCTGGGCTAGACAAGACGGAGGGATCAAGAACAACGGAGGGATCCTACAGAAGCAAGCCACTGCCCTCCTTCCCTTGGCCTGGCCACCGCTATTAATATTACATGTGTCAGAACCAGCTAAAACTATTGTGTCAGAACCAGTTAAGAATATTGTGTCAGAACCAGCTAAGAAAATTGTCAGCACCAGCTAAGAATAATGTGTCAGAACCAACTAAGAACAGTTAAAATACACGAGCCAGAACCAGTTGAAAAATGAACCTGGAAACAAGTGAGTCGTCGGTTATGTGGTCTTGATGTATAAGAATCGGTTAACAGTGAATGAAACACAGGAGGACTGAGGTTGAAGCGGAGAGAAAATCAGTGAGATCAAATAATTAACAGCGGTTGAAACACAAACTCTCAACCAGCAACTTTAGGAACTGAGTATCATTTTATCAAAGTCTCTACGGCCCACAATTACCACACAGTGACCGGGTAAGCAAACACCACAAAAGTGTACGTGTTTGGGAATAACCTGTGTTGTTTGCTCCGTTCATCCAGGTTATGTTGTAGTTAAGGCTCACCAGCTTGTCTCTCTTTGCAGTTCTCGGTTCTGTATTTTTCTTTGTTATTCTAAATTCTTTCGTGTTTATTTTTTTTAATTATTCGCGGTACAATGGTTGTATAAACCAGGTTGTTCTCTGAACCAAATCTCTCCACCCAGCCTCTCCTTATCTCTTCCCGATGACTGAGAGCCAGTGTACTGTACAAATTGTGTGAAAGGCGCCTAATTTGCCAACCAGACAAGAGCCACCGCCTCTCCCGCGC